AGGAAAACTGCACAGTTACGAACATAGTTTATTGACGAGCAGAACATGTGTTCCAGCTCGAACATTACTTTTCATCGAGATCGTTTGATGAAGTTCGTGAAAAATTTAGCAGTGAAACTGGTAACAAAATTTCGGAACACAGGAATTTTTTATATGTGGCAATTGCTCATAGAGTGACAAAACAGCTGAAATTAAGGCCGTACTAATTTAAAGTAATGCATCATCTGCAAGAACGGGATGCGGCTACAGGAATTCAGTTTCGTTTCCTATTTGTGCATGAACGTGCTAAGTTTAATCGGAATTTGTTAAGCGTCAGCTTCGGAGATAAAATGTACGGGTTGTCAGGCACTACCTTACAATTAGATGTTCGTTTTATGTACTATACTTCGTGGAAACAACCACTTAATTTCTGAAAAGATATATCACTCATCTTTTAACATATACGTATAGATGTGTTTTTCCCCCATTTTGAAAGATCCTAGTTTTTATTATTTCAGACTTACCTGGAATATACAAAGAGCTGTAAGAAATAAAACAATTGGCTTGTTCGCCATGTTGTGAGTCTTGTTTTCCTTGCGCTGAAACTTCTACAACTGCTCTGTTATCATCGTTTTATTCCGAAGTACGCATACACGCAAATGCTCGATAGAAGGACTTTAATCCGTATCCTTGAAATAAATGCTTTTTAATGTTGCCAACGTTTTATGTGTATTAGGGTGTGCATGACAGATCACCATGATATGCGATAAGGATATTGTGTAAATGCATGATTGACTTAAGTCTCTAATTAGACATGAGTTCACAGTTATTTATTCAAATTGCAGAAATAAGAAACACACAGAGAATTATAGTTTAGAAGCCTTTTGGTAAGCCATCGCTTTTAAGACATAGACTCGATATTGGTGGATAATAATAAAACGAATTATATTGAAAACAGTTGAAATGTGATAACATTCTGGTCTACAAGTTTCAAGAGTGTTCAAAGTTTTCTTCACTGTCCTGTACTTTCACTTGTCACCGGAGAGCTAAAATAAATTAAATAGTCTCACTGCGTGTTCGTAACTGTGCATAGAAGTTTGACACCTGCCACCCGAAACGTATTGTAGGCCTAAACCGAGTAGGGTAAGTCTGGGTCAAGGAACAATAAGAGAGTGAACTTTGTTTTTATTTAGCCATGTCGAATACACATTTTAATTGATAAATGAAAAAAAATACAAATTTCTATTTTAGCTCTTGAATTTATTACACAAGTGCCCAACAAACTCAGCAGCAGAAGCAGTTGGACACAGTGAACTAACAAAGTTTATGCAAGGAATGGACTAAAGCAGTAGCCAGTTTAGCACAAACGGAGCTCTGTTATGTTGCAGTTAAAGTGTCGTACCATCAGTTAACTTACATTAGGAATTTTAGGCAACTTATACTACGGTTTTCCGGGATAGTACATAAAATTAGGCTACGGCCGTTTCCTTCCACTCCTTTCCAATTTATTATTCGCTGTCATCCTCTCATTCTACGCTATATAGTCTGACCTACTGAAAAAGCGTCGTTAAATAAACTATAAATAAATATACCACGCACCCAAAACAAGCTTCCCTTTTACACCACAATATGACTCGTGATACAAATTCTGACACTAATAGTCGTGTAAGTCTGTCATAATTTTGTTCTGATATTGCTTCAGCTGTTTTATTAGCAGTTCTTAATGACGCCTTAATAACACAAGCAATCTAATCATGCCAGCCATACTTTTATCAGCATTGAAACTAGTTTTAATCTTCTTCTTTTCCATTAATTTAAAAGTTGTTTTCTAAGTTATGTCAAAGTGATACTAAAACCAGTACTTTGGAGTATAGTTCTCCTTGGGAAGCTAACTAGTCGTTTACGTACAGAAAAATTCACAGGATATGGAATTCTTAAAACTTTACTTTTCTTATGAATTGAATTCATCTGAACAGTGCCATGTCTCATGTAAGAATTTCAGTCTTGTCGACAAGTAGCTGACAATGTCTGGCCATATGACAGCATTTTTCCCAGATGTCTTTCTGACCAGTTTCTTGGAATTTACCTCTTCGAATAAGAGGTAAATATATTTATATTTTAACAGAGTTGTGCCACGTCATAATGTTCGAGATCCTTCAGCTAAATGGTTACTGTTTCATTGATCGATACTGTACCCATGATCCGACGGTTTGACCGAATTCTTCGCAAGTTTCTCCATCGTCATGTTTGCGTTTACTTTCGTGGATTGCTGGAACGTCTTGAGAATTCCAACCAAGAGGTCATATATTTCCCTCTGCGTTGTCTTCTCAGCTGTGTTATCGTTCTTTCTCGATGGCTTACTTCCAGTATCAAATTCTTCTGAACTCGCGGAAAAATTCCTTCGTAATTCGCTCGTGTTCAAGTGCGTTCCGGTCACTGTATACGATTCAACGACGTTCTGAAATAAAACAGTTGAATAAATTCCCTTAAGAACTGCATGGAATTCAACTTATAACCTTTATGTTAAATTAACTTTAGACAAGATGGCTTAAACGTGTTACAAAATGTAAGCGGAAACGAACATGTCGATGTGTCGACGAAAGTAATTTCTCATTCACCACTGTTCGCAATTTATGCCCATGTCATGTGGTATCTTATAAAAAAGAGTATTGAAAATTATATGAACGGGAAGGTCGCCAAAAGGTCTGTCCAATTGTTCCGGAACTTGGAAGTCAGTGATTCAAATAGAAGGTATCGTGCTGAGCAGTAAGAAACTCGGGTAGACACTTCTTTTAGTCGAATCATTTCTTGGTTACAAGCAGAACTCTCCAGTTTTGGTTAGTTTGGCGATGAATAAGGTGATGAACAGTGATGACCAATTTAGAAACTAACGAAATAATTAAGCAACTCACTCCAGTGTGCAGGGTCCTTATTAAAATCTGATAGTCTCTCAGCTAGTCAATAAATGCTTCGCCTTTTATTGAACCCTAAAATTCATTACCCTGCTCACAGTTCTGCCCCCACCCCCCAGTCCCTATTCTGAGTAAGATGAACGTAGTCCACACCTTCACACCGCATTTTTCAAGATTTATTTTAATTTCACCCTCTTGTCTACGCCGAAATCTACCGAGTGATCTCTTTCCTTCATCCGTTTCAGCTAACACTTTGTATGCATGTATCTCCCTCATGCGCGCCATATGTCCTGCCCATCTCATTCCTCCATGGTAGCTTTATCAGTGTAGTGACTGACTACGGACAGGACGATCGGGGTTCGATCCCTCACAGGAGCAGATGATTTTTCCTGATCCTATCCCGGGGACAAAGCGCGGCCGGGACGTGATACTGACCACTCACCCCTATCTAATACCAAGCGCCCACATGGCGTGTGGCGGAAGTTTTAATATTATTATTACTAGAATTTGCAAATCATGTCTGGAAAAGAAATACGATGTAATCCGTTAACTTACCTGGCAGATCAGTGTTGAAATGAAAGTAATAGCTGTTATCGACAGTCGCATGTCCATTGCTGTTATGTGCTTATTAAGTTTGTACGTTTCAGTTTTCCTGCGTTGTTATAGCTGTTGTTCAAACTAGAAGTAACGTACAGTAATATATCAGATGGACTGGTAGTATGTGCGGCACATGTTTGTGTATGTGTGAAGGCTGAATCGCAGAGAATAATATCTTCCCTTTGCAAAGTATTTGCTGATGCAGAGATTTATTCCACCTTGGCTGTACCCTGAGTTTAACATTTACTATTTTGCGCTTAGTACTAATTCAGCATTTGTATTCATATCTGAAATGACACTAAAGTAATTTGTACGTGTCATTTCGTTAAATTATTCATGAATTGCTGGTCTCTCATTGTTTTACAATAAATAACTTTCTAGTTCAGTTGCCCAGTGGGAAAGATTTTTTTATTTCATGCTTGTTCGTCACATTCATATTTGTTTAAAGATAATTAGTTAAAAACAATGAAAATATACATATTCGAGAACGTTGAATTATGTGAATCTTCGTAGTTCCAATTTACACCAAATAATATTAGGTTGGTTAAATAAAAGAAGATGAGACTAAATAAATAGTTGGGAAAGCTGGAGAGATAAAGAACTTGAAGACCTAAATGTAAATATTAGGATAGTTTTAGAGCTTGCTTCAGTTTTCAAGAAATGTGTTGGGAAATTCGGGACTGTTTTCGTCTGGCCCAGGGTAGGGATCAGAGGAGAATTGTTTTGAACACGACAGTGAACCATCTGATTCCATAAAAGGTGGCAATTTCTTGACCAGTTAAGCGACTCTTAGTTTGTTAAGAAAGACTTTGCTTCATGAAGTTAGTTGGTTAATAATTGTGAAGATGTTTAAAATGCAACTCGGCCTGGCTTTAACATGAATTTCTTTCAGAAGTTAAATAAATGTTTTTAAAAGGATATAATTTTATAAACGTAGTTATTTATCAAAATAAAATTGTTTCTGATATAACTTCTAAAGCTGTGTATGTAACCACATTAATAACAGTCTACAGAAAATAGCGTGTGAAGACTGTGAAGTTATTCTGACTCCCACAGTACAACTTCAAAAACAAATTCCGTTAAGTATGGTCAACTGATATAAATTGTATTGATGCCATTTGAAAATGAATTATGTGTATTGCTGTTTATCGTATGATTTTTAGCGGAAAATAACCGGCGTTGTAGACCTTGAACTATAAGCCGTTCTTGCTTCCAGTGCGACTGGCATAATTAACCTTGACACGAAGCATTGTCTGCTGAGTAATCCTGTCCATATGGTCTGTTGGCTTCTGTCGATCACCTGTTTGGCCTCAATACCACCAATGCGGTAGCATGCTTAGTCAGTATTTTATTGTCACCCTAATATTAACACACGCTAGTTATGCACTTTTTGTAGTAACTGCCTGTTAAATCGACGAATTTCTTAGCTTCGAAGACGATGTTAACGTGGCAGCCTCTTAGTTCAGTGAAGCAGAAGTAATTTCAATAGGTCAAAACATCGTCAATGTCGATCAACTTCTGGCATTTGTCCAAAGTCTTTGGAAAACCAAAGAAGACCTTGAGAGAATAGTGGGGCCCTAGCACATG